TCATTGGGCGAAAATTAGTTCAGCGAAAACGTCATCAAATATTGATATAATGAAACAAAACATAATTGTAGGTATATCTTTTTATTAAACATTTTGCATAATTATGTCGGTACATGAATAGTTGATATTTACAATGCTCGGGCTTAAGATTTACATACAAACTATTTTAATAACTATCTTATAACTATCTGACTCATTGATGTCCATACTTGGAACACTGTACACTTTATAAGCCCCTTAATCGAGGGGTGAAATAACTATATATTTTATCGAATCCAGAACATCGAAGATGTACAACAGTGATTTGAATTCAGCTAACGTAAAAATTCTGTTCTACTATATATGAGTCGACTATTATCAAAGCCGGCAATGTGACTTTTGGACAATTTTTGGTAAATCAGAAAAACGAATTATTGACTTTGTATTCCATTGGCAGTCACAAAACTCTTCGGAACGACATCTTAGATAAATAACAGGTTAAGTATTAACCTTTATTTAATGCAGGTTTTGAACCGTATTCTTTGAAGGAGACGATTATATTCAAATCAATCTGTATTGACGTATCAATAACATTTTTTTGTCCAAATGCACAGATTGCCACCTTTGATAATAGACGACTCATATATATGTACTATACTAACTAATCATTATTTTCGGTAAATCAGGTGTCGCTCGATGTGTCTATAACATCTCATGTCATGGGGTCTATTAAGGTGTCTAAACAAAATTAGAATTATCTTAATTTTTTTTGGTAGCCTGTTAGTATGAGAGAATAATTTTCCATGGTCACAACAAAATGTTGCCCTATCATGTAAACGTCCGAAACTCCTTGCTAGGTGATTTTGTCATCACTTTTCTCAAATCATTTCATCAAATATCAAGTCCGCATTTCTTTAGAAAAATTGTTACCTATATGCGGGATTCGAAGACCGGCACTGTCGCATCGCTCGATACGAATGTACCGGGCCTCTTATCTATTTATCCACGACGACTTCGACCATGAAATAAATAAAGTCGTAAGTTTGTTTCGTGTTGAAAATTAAAGCTCAATCTGTCTATTACATGTCCATTTACAATCTACTACCACACTATATTATACAGTATACAATACTATATACTATACTATATAGCAGTGATTCTCAACCACTGTTCCGCGGCACTTTTGTGTGCCGCCAAATTTCAAAAGTGTGCCGCCAAATTTTGCGAATATATAATAATGTTAATATTATTAAATTATATCATTTTAAAAGAAAAATATTTTAAGCATGAATATATATTTAAATCCACAAAAAAAATTATTATAGTATATTTTAGTTTATTTCGTATATTAAAATTTTTTGATAAACTATTTATGCAGTGTGTTGAAGTAAGTAAATAATTTTTATCTTTTTTTTTTGTGTGCCGCCAAATTTTGAAATCGTTAAATATGTGCCGCAACAAAAAAAAAGGTTGAGAATCACTGCTATATAGAATACAGCAGTACTACCTAGGGCTACTAATGAATGTAGCACTGCCAATTGGTACGTAGCCAGTTTCAATCCATTTTGGTGACGGCCGTACCCAAAACAATTCAAAACATTAACTGTTTAACACATTTTAAAAACGCCTCTGCTTAAACAATCACAGCCAATAATTGAATAAAATTTCCTATATAAATTTTTCCTACTAAATTTAAACAAAGATAAGTTAACAGTAATATAATTAAAGTTAAAAATAAACCTAATTACGTGTCTTAAATAAATCAAATAACAATGTACAATGTGATTTATAACAACAAATTCAAACAACACACAGAAAACAACGCGACTACAAAGAATATTATAGAATAATAGAATATTTCATAAAAACAAAACACTATCATAAGCAAATAAATATATTATGATATTTTTCTCTTTAACTGTAAACATAGCGAAATCTATCACTTAATGGCGGCTTAAATTATATAATTTTCGTTTAGACAAATTGTTAAGCTTTTAATAACGAAATTATATTTGATCGAAATAGACTATAGTTTAGTCATACTGGGTAAATGATATTTATGTTGGATATATCGTTGGATTATGTAATTTTTCAGGAGAAACGTTGAATATAATTCTTATATAGTTCTAAGCTATAGAAATAAAATTATAAAATTTAAATGACAACTTTGTACTTCATCAGTAAAAGCAAACATCTCTTTCGTCTCACTAATAACTATTAAAAAATGTATTATCTCATACTCCATTCAGATTTAACAAAAATTGCATAAGTCACTTTATAGCACCGTATGTGCGATATTTAGATGCTATATTTTAATTGATATTTACATAAAAAAAGCTTCAAAAAGAAGGTACTTGGACTTGTCATGTGATAATATAGTCTATTTAAAAAAAAAAATGAAAAAAAATACAAAAAAAACATTAACACATTGACTGCAATATATGTCACCGGTACCCTACGCGGCGCACTGAAGGAATTATGTCGATTTCTTTTACTAAGCGTTTGGATTACCTAGCTTTGCCTTCTTTTGTTTAATAATGTACTATGTTTTAATCTTTTAGGTCTCTTACAAAAAGATCGATTTTCAGTATCTTCGGATTCGTCTTTCTATCAGAGTATACTAGATATTCCGGCGCCTTAGTAAGGAGATCGTGATAGTTACTTCAGTGCGTCGCGTAGGGCACGGGTGACCTACACGGCAGTTAACGTGTTAACATTATTCAGCGATGAACGTAATTGTTTATCACGCATTATAATAAAAAGCGGCCCGCTCCGGCTCCGCTCGGGTCTTGAACAAAAATTTCAACTATATTTGACGTTGTTTTATTTTTTTTAAATAAAAGAGCACTTATTGCCGCATAACTATAATAGCTAGACATATACTGTCGCGAAACTTTTTGTAAACAATAATGTGTTCTACAAAGTCGTAGTACATTATTTTATTCTATCATCAATAGTTTTTGCAGGGCACGCGATGTAAAGAATGTTTTAGGTAATTTGTTTACACCTTGGGTTACATTATTGGAATTTTAGTAGGGATCCCTAATTTTTTTCAAAAAATTTTATAACCTATGTCACTCAGGAATAGTGTAGCTTCCAAACAGTGAAAGAATTTTTCAAATCCGTTCAGTAGTTTCGGAGCCTATTCAATACAAACAAACAAATAAATCTTTCCTCTTTATAATATTAGTAAAAGTAAAGTAAACTAATAATAATTATAATATTAGTAATAAATAATTGTCTCATAAATAAAATCCATAAATCTCCTAATTAATCTATCACGGTGCGACTGTATGATAAAGTCGTGTCTACGCGTATAAATTGCAGTGATAAATTGTCGTTTTGACAGCCAGACGTTTCAATAAACTGACGTCACATTATCAAGTTAGATTATATTAATGACTACAATCTTAATTCTAATAATAAAATGACGTATCTAAAGCCGACCGTTTGATTTACGATAGAAATTAACAATGATTGGCGGATTTTGTGTTTAATTGTTTGCCAAATCATGTTTGCTTCTATTAGGTATTACGATTAAAGTTGATGAATTTATCGTTTTGTCATATCTCATTTAAGAAGCCAATGGTTTCCGTTATATGAATAAGAATTATGCGGATAATCAAATAGTGTATTATGTACTTAGAATTGAGTAAGTTTGCGTCAAAAACATTACTTTTTTGCGAATTAGGTGTTTAGTGACCGGAACTTCTAGGGTCATAATATTAATAGAACATATTTATGTCTAGAATCTAAATTGAAATAAATATAGCATTTTAGATTGCCTAGATCGACGTGGCCAGGTTGCATGTGTAGAAAATACTGTATCGTAGAGAAGAAACTGCATACGAAATATTTCGAAAAACATTATTTTCTTGATGAAGCAGCTGAGAGCATCAGACAAAATTTTCAATAAAAGAAATATTGTGAATTTTTCACGAATACAATCAAAGTGAAAGTTTGAACACTGATTTTTTTTGTAGTTTACAATATCGTGATTAATTCAATTGAAACTATTAAAATTCTCATTCTTAGTGCCGTAATTAAATATGGACTTTTTTCCGAATTAGGTGTTTAGTGACCAGAATTTCTAGGGTCATAATATTAATAGAACATATTTATGTCTAGAATCTAAATTGAAATAAATATAGCATTTTAGATTTCCTAGATCGACGTGGCCAGGTTGCATGTGTAGAAAATAGGTACTGTGTCGTAGAGAAGAAACTGCATACGAAATATTTCAAAAAACATTATTTTCTTGATGAAACAGCTGTGAGCATCAGACAGAATTTTCAATGAAAGAGATATTGTGAACTTTTTACGAATACAATCAAACTTAAAGTTTTAAGACTGAATTTTTTCTTTTTACTTTACAATATGGTAATTAATTCAATTGAAAACTATTAAAATTCGCGATCTGAGTGACGTAATTTAATATGGAAAAACCTATTTCAAATCTCGAAATATCTCAATGTTTTTTCGGTAGAATCACCCGTGGTCACAAACTGCCGTACCCTAATATATTTTTGTGTATTTTAAATGTATATTATTCTACTCTTTTGTTTCGAATAATGGAACCTTTAACTTTAAAGCCAAACATAGTAAAACAATTAATGTCAAAATATATCTTAACAACCTCAGAGAAATAAACATACAGATTAGTGTGTATTTAACATCAAATACTAAAATAAATATGTAAACAATCTCCTAAATATAATATAGACATGGAGAAATGTATATGTAAATTAGTTTCGCTAACGAGGGAATGCCCGTACTTCGTAAAAATGCAAGAAATATTAAAAAAATATATATCCCAACGTGTAGCAGGAAGAACAAAATTATCAAGTTAAAATTCTTAAAAATTAGGCCAACGGAACTTACACGATAATAGTCTATCCGGCTGTTTACAAAAACGATGAAGATATGCTCTGGTATATTCTTTTTTTTTAATGCCCTTGTAGGCAGACGAGCACACGGCCCGCCTGATGGTGAGTGGTTACCGTCGCCCATGGATTTCAGCAATGCCAGGGGCAGAGCAAAGCCTCTGCCTACCGTCGAGTACTCTCCACAAGCCTCGTTTGGAACGACATGTCATAGCGCCCGAGTCTCTAATCTCCTTAGTGTACTGCTGCTACTTCTCCACCGCTTTTCATGACCGGAAGGGTTAGTCGTACTACAGTTATTAAATCCTCTTATTTCTACCTACTCCTTATTCCACTCAAACTTAGACGTTATAAAGCCGTTTTGTCTTGATATATGCAGAGTAACTTGTATACTGTGAATTATCTAGGTTTAAGTTGTGTAAGTCATCGGCGCTTTGTATCTAAGATAGTAAAACAAAATATTACCGCTACGATATCTACTTTTTCTGAAATTTCCACATCCCTTTGCTATACAGCATAAACTTAAGCATTAGGTAAATCCGAAAATCTTTTGCAACTTATATTATAATGTATAAGGAATAAACAACTAAAACAATATTTCAGTAGGTGGAAAAATCGGATTACGTAAAAGTAGATCCTTTAGGCTTTTGAGTTTTTACGTGAGCGCATTTTAGCTTCTGACAACAAGACTCAAAAGAGCCAGTCAGTGCTTGCAGAGACTATTAGACTAGATACTTACATTTATTTAAAATTTTATTCTAAATAAACGTATCAAGTTTAATGTATGATAGCTTAAAATTAAAATAAATATTAAAACGAATATATCGATTTGATGTTAAAAGTAAGTCATGATCTTGCAAATAATCTACTCTTTGCATTTGCTTTGCGTGTTCATAAGTGCTCACACACAATGTATGGTTATAACCGTAGAACTATGGAATACACTAGCGGATTTTATCACTCTACGCTCATGATAATGAAACTAAAATAACATTAATGCTCGCCTTAACCTAATATCAAAGCCGGACATAGCTTACGCCAATTTCGCGCACTTTTTCACCGTACTGCCCAACAATCTTCTCTTGATGTTAACGATGTAGCAGTATCCCTTGTTGACTCCAGCAGTGAGGGAGGACGAGAGGCAGCTTATCAAGCTAATTATGGTTCCAAAGAAACTCGGCATCAGGATCGTGGAGCAAGAAGCTACTGAGCGATACACGACGCGGTTGACTTGTTGCAAGTTTCTATAGTTGTCTCGACCACCGACGTCGACTTTGCTGAAGACTTGATACTGATAAAAGAAAATACTAATTTGGGAAAGCTGAATATGTCAAGAGTTTATTTATTCACTGATTTAGGCTCTGAAGAATGGCGAAAAAGCTTAGTCTAAAAGTCATTTAAGTTTATGCTACAAATTTACCTGTGTGTCAGCAATGATGAGAGGTTTGTCCATAACGATCCAGGTGACTGATTCCTGGCAGTCCGGTGTGGTGAGGGACCCGTGGTATGTGTAGTAGGATTGAGGGTTTGGACTCAGCAGGCGTCTGCAAACAATATAAATCTATAACAAATCCATAACGCTATTGTTATCCGTTTCCTCTTGTTTTTTTGAGTTTCTTTTCACAAGTGCCGTAATATAAAACAAAATCGTTGGTAAATATTTCATAATTATTTACATAACTCCGTCTGTGAAAGCTTTCAATGTTTTGCAGTTGCCGGCGCAAAATCAAGAGCTCATTATTTACGAGTATTCGTTCTTTAGTCTAGATTCTGTTATCTTATACTTAATGATCTATGGAATGTTTTACTGGTGGTATGAAGTCTGGTAAACCCGGACGGAAAGGTGCCACCACCCTGCCGATTTCTGCCGTGAAGCTATAATACGTTTTGGGTTGAAGGGCGGGGCAACCGTGTTTCAGTGGGTAGCGGCATTAATTTGTTGTTGTCTATAGGCACCGGTAACCGCTTAAAAGCAGGTTGGCCATGAGTTCGTCTACTCATCTACGCGATAGATAAAAAAAAAACTTTTCTGTTTTGACACAAATCATTACAAGTGAATTGATAAACTACAAATAAACGATTTCCATATTCAAAAGGTGTGCTTTAAAATTTATTATCACAGAAATCACCTATAAAGAACTCTTTACGTTAATTGTCAGTATTTCTAAGTCCCTCAATTGCAATCAGATAGGGGGATTTATCGGAAGTATTTACGAAGTCAAGGCGTATGAGGGGCTTCTCCAATATAAAACAATTAACCTTGAACCTGGGTGTCTTTTTACCGGTTTAGATTAGCCGACATGATATTACGTTACACATATAATGTTGATGAATGTTTTTTTTTAATTCGTTTATGGACAGAAAAACTAACGTACCATAGGGAGGTACAGTTGTTGCAAAGTATGACTGCGCGCCGCCCTTAGTTGTATCAGTGACCAATCTGTATACGCGACTTTTTTATTTTTATTAATCCTACCTATGCTGATAGCCTTGAGAGGCTATATCAGCTTCTCCTTGACGTGTAGGTAAGCTCACGGGGTTCAAGCCGGTGTGTTGCTAACACTGGCCCTTTTTTTTTTTTTTTTTTCACAGGAGAAAATCGCCGGATCCCCACCCGCGCGGCAGGTGGGGTATGTGGAAGTTGAATCTCACTAAAAACTCCTGCCGCTCACAACCGGCGCTCTACCTCGGACCGGGCCGGAGCCCAGTCGGGGCTATTGAAACGGCGGGACAGGGTTGACGCAGAGCACATTACATCCATCCCACCGTCCCACGGACGCCGGACCGGTGGCCACCAGCGACACGACCACCGGTTCCCTCGTTCAGCGGGCCGAGAGCCCGCTTTGATGGCGCCGCGTTACACCTTCCCCCAGAGCGGTCGGGGGAACGCAGTCTACCGTCACCCGGCTTCCTACTGCGGGTGAACGTGCAAAGCACGCCACCCCACGTCTGGGTCTCTCCCCGCACAAAACGGGTGGGACTCCTAGCTCTTAGGGGGCCAGGTCACGGATACGACCCCGGTCCCGACCCCCTGCTCGGCGGCGGCGGGTTTCTGCGTAGTGAGGAGAGCTTTGCCTCACTCGCCCCGCCGCCTCCTTCTGCGAGATGGTGCACTCGCAGAAGTCGAGCATAGCCTTCCATGACTCATCGCCGCCAAGCATCGACGCCACGACGCCAGGCAGCGACAAGTCAGGTCCTATCTTTGCGACCAGGACACGGCGCTGCACCTCCCAAGCGGGGCAGACAGCGAGCGTATGCTCCGCCGTGTCCAGGTCGTGTCCACAATGGTGACACCTCCTCGCCGGCTCAGCCCCTATCCGGCACAGGTACTTCCCGAAGCATCCGTGCCCGGTCAGCACCTGCACTAGACGAAAGGTGAGACGTCCTTCGCCACGATTCACCCAGTCATCAAAGACCGGGTAAACCGCCTCGACGGTCCGTAGCCCCCACGTGGGGTTGGCCAATCGCCTCGACCACGACTCGAGCACGGACCGCCGAGAATGGGTCTTCCGCGCCCGCAGCTCACTTTCGGGGAGACGCGCCACGCCCCGAGAACACTGGCCCTAGCAAGAGCAGTACTTCCCAGAATCTACCACCGGATCGGAAACGCGACCCACAGAGAAGATCCGGCGAGAAACTCAGTGGGCTGTGTCTATGGGTTAATTTACTCGTCGAGCCCTTCGTCGCAAGCGACGGGTTCGGCGAGGACGGTGACCGGATACGCGTCAATGCATGCAGGCTATATGTAGCTAATGTAGACCAGTGACCGCTCCGTCGGGCACACACACTAACGAAAATGTGTATTTACGAATACAACTACAAATAAAGGCCATGTATGAGCATATTACTTGCAACAACTATAGTCACTGTGGGCAAGCCGTTATATATTTTATTGCATAGAAGAGTGAGCGAGTTGACTGGGTACCGGAGTGAATTATATGGCATTGGGTAGAAAGTACTGGTGGGAGGACGTCTTGTGAGTCCGCGCGGGTAGGTACCACACCTATGCCTATTTCTGTCGTGAAGCAGTAATGCGTTTCGGTTTGAAAGGCGAGGCAGCCGTTGTCCTGAACATGAGACCTTGGAACTCATGTCTCGAGGTGGATGGCGGCATTTACGTTGTAGAAGTCTATGGCCTCTGCTAATCACTTAACACCAGGTGGGCTGTGAGATCGTCCAACCAACCAAGCAATAAAAAAAGGCCAGAGTGATAGTAGTATACTGAACACGAACTGAAATATTTATCACTTGTTCTCATTGGGACAGCAACTAATTCGGACAAAGCTACATCCAATGTAGTGTGATGGTTAGAAACATAATTCGCACGGATGATCGTCAGTTTGCCGGAACTTTTTACTCTTTGTTGGCGGACTGTCCTAATGGCCGGTCCTCGAGACGTCCATCATCAACCCAGCTTTTTTTATAGCCCTTATAGGCAGTGGTTGAGTGGTTATCGTCCCTTATGGACGTCAGCGATGCCAGGGTAGAGCCAAGCCGCTGCCTACCGTAAAACCTTGAGAGATGAGTTCTAAGTCTCAATTCTATAGTACAATGGTTGCTCCAAAACGCATCTGCTGCTTCACGGCAGAAAAAAGGTGGTGGTATCTATCAGTGTGGGCAGACCAGACGCCCCACCACCAGTGGATCGAGGTACGTAATTCTCCGTCACCGTGGTTTGTTTTAAGCCGTCAGCTGCCTGTACCAGGGTTGTCAGTCAATGGTATCTCTCCATACTGTTTACATTAATTAGTCACTACCAAATTATCGGCTACTAAGCTCCGTTATCATCGACGCTTCTGACAGGATGACAGGTTGCTTTATTGTCATTTCGATTAGCCGATTTCGATTTGTAATTATTTTCGATATTTAGAAATGACGTAAACGTGATTATGTGATTCATAAAAATTTGCAAATCGATTAGTCGATGTGGTTCTTTGAACGAATGAAATATATAACATGCCCCATAATAAAAACTTAGTGTCACAAATGTTTTTATTTTTGAAGTGTAAAAAGAGTGTATGTTTATAACAAGTCCATAAAATAACCAATCTTTGCCAACAAACACTACGAGAAAAATAAATGGATTAACTTTCTATTAAAAAGAAAGAAAATCTCAAAAAAAAATTAACGAAATTAAAAAATATATATACCCGAAATGGTATTGCAGCATTAATATAACATAAGTACTGGAGAGATAAATTGGAAATCTAAAATTATCATCTTCCGAACCGAATTTAATAATGAAAAAATTACCTTAAATCAATGTTCTTAGGATCGGTTTCTTCTTCAGATCTGCTTGCGAGATCCGGTACAGCGGGCATTATTTGCTCCAAAGCGAATTGGCTTTCTTCATTACTGTATATCTGTATTATTGAAGGTAAAATAAGATTCATAGCAAAAAAATCCTTATTAGTAACACGTCTCTTCTATTAATTATTTAAGTCGTAACGCATGATTGTTTTACACCATAAATAGCTGTTTTTTTTAATTATACTTCATTACTGGTAGTATTGGGAGCTTGCATGGATTGATATTGGAGGTAGTCGTTTAATAACCCATATTGAGACAAAGATCTCGCGTTTCCAACCAGGCGCCGGTATTCATGTTGCGATGTCTATGGGATTGTTGACCACTCAATACCAGATGGGTTGTGAAATGTGAAAGTCTAGTGTGTGAAATTCAATGAAATGAATAAAATCGCAGAATTGGGGTGTTCGCTCATATGGACTTGCAACATGTCCTACTGGAAGACTTCAAGAAAATTTCAGAAAATTGTGTTTTTTAGGATTGTAGGATTACTGGTACCCCGGAGGCCTTTCCAATTTCACCAGGACTGGTGGGCGAGTAAAGGCTCAGCCAGGAGGGGTGGGATTTGCTAACAGCTGCCCGAGCGCCTCCGTAGGAGACCTAACAACTCAAGAGCAGCTGCTTTGCGAATGAATCTACTACTGGATCGGAATCGCGACCCGCTGAGAAGATCCGACGAGAAACTCAGCGAATTTATGCATGGGTTAGGTTGCACGTCGAAGTCTTTGTCTACTTCGATGAGTACGATTACCGGTCTCTAAGCCTGCTCCTAGTGTTAGAGCGAAGGCTAAATGGCTGAAGGCGCCTAAGGCAAAGGTTATTGGATCCGTAAGGACGTGTCTAGGCGTCGACGGTGGCTCCTGCGTGATCAGGATTCGGGGAGTAGTCAGCGATACTACAGGCAACGATAAGGCGATTATCGTGACCTTATCGAAGTACCGTTCCGACGCTGACGTCATGTATATCCGGATTGATTCGAGGCCCAGGTCGTCGTGTAGGTTATCGTTCCCCTCGAACCACAGAGAAAATAGTGATGTGATTTCAAAGATTGTAATGACTTCTAATAAAAACGCAGAAAAAAAAATGACGTTAAGAATATTGGATAGAAGTTGCATATTAAAATTTTCTAACATCTCGTGTGAAAAAGAATGTAATGTATGAAATTTTTTACAAAAATAGATACCTTTGATGTTCAAAATACAGTATACCTTCTAATGAAAGAGTGTTGTTACAGCCATTGTATTTTAAGCCACGGACAGGCGGAATTTACGTAAGGGCTATTGCTAGGAAAGCATGGTAAAAAATAGCGGTAAGTAGGCAGCGGCTTGGCTCTGTCCCTAGCATTGCTGATGTCCATGGGTGACGGTAACCACTCACCATCAGGTGGGCCGTATGCTCGTCTGCCTATAAGGGCCATAAAAAAAAATTATGTTGTAGCAAGAGCTAAACTTGACCAGGGTACAGACCTGTTAAGATTTAGAGTCGACTATATTTAGATATGTATTTCCTATGACTTACGTTCGAAGAATAATCTAATTCGGCCATAATCACTGATGCGCCAAGATTTGGAGATTAACATTGATCCCTTTTGTTTTGTGATTGACATTTTGAAAACAACCTATTTACGTAAGTTTTTTTGCATTAACTAACATGAAACCTCGGATATTGCTAATAAACCAAAACAAAAAAAGGGGAATATGTACAGAGAAACAGAGCAGAAAAATGGTGCTAAGTTGTTTTGTCTTGCCCATTAACAGGTCTACTTTTTAAGAGTGAAATTCTGACCTTATTTAAGACTCTTTATGGCATTTATATTGGTTGTATCTTCGAAATAGGCCCGTCGCTCTTCAACGAAACGCTACCCAATGCTTAGAACGAAGCCCTATGGCTTTAATGTTTGGTATTAAAATGCAGATCAGCGGATTAGCTACCTGACACATGACGCCGATGACGGCGAGTCCATCTGGACGTTTCAAGGCTTCATCCACCGGGACACCGGTTTTCACGTGCACCATGTGTATCTCCATGGGATATCTATGAGGAACATAAGTATGATAAATATTTTTAATGGTTATGACGACGACTCGAAATATTACTTTCCGTTTCGTTCTTTTGATGATTTGAAGTCGTCGTGGCCTAACGGATAAGACGTCCGGTGCATTCGGGTTGAGTGATGCACCGGTGTTCGAATCTCAGGCGGGTACCAATTTTTCTAGTGAAATACGTACTCAACAAATGTTCACGATTGACTTCCACGGTGAAGGAATAACATCGTGTAATAAAAATGAAACCCGCAAAATTATAATTTGCGTAATTACTGGTGGTAGGACCTCTTGTGAGTCCGCACGGGTGGGTACCACCAGCATGCCTATTTCTGCCGTGAAGCAGTAATGCGTTTCGGTTTGTAGAGTGGGGCAGCCGTTGTAACTATACTTGAGACCTTAGAACTTATATCTCAAGGTGGGTGGCGCATTTACGTTGTGGATATCTATGGGCTCCAGTAACCACTTAACACCAGGTGGAGTGTGAGCTCGTCCACTCATCTAAGCAATAAGAAAAAAAACATTGGAGAAATATCTTTTTTTTTTCTTAGTTGTTTGAAGGGTGGGGCACCAGTTGTGGCTATACTTGAGACCTTAGAACTTATATCTTAAGGTAGGTGGCGGCATTTACGTTGTAGATATCTATGGGCTCCGGTAACCACTTCACACCAGGTGGGCTGTGAGCTCGTCCACCCATCTACGCAATAAAAAAATAAAAATAAAAATAGTTCGATAAATTTCTATGATATTTACCCCTAATAAATATAACTGTCACCACAGTTTGAAGACCAAACTTTTTTTTTATACCATTAAAATATATTAATTAGATAAGTGTGCGAAGATCTGTGCTGGGTGTTGGCAAAAGTTGGATGAGAGAAGTCCAGGGTCGTGCAATTGGGGAGGCCTATGTCTAGCAGTGGAATACTATAGGCTGATGATGATGATAATGATGAACTGTGTGACAATGTTAATGAAATTAAAAATGACACCGGGTCACATAATAGCTGTTGAAGGCATTCCACCTTCAAAGAAAAATAGTAACAACTCAAATATATCGAATAAAATGTATTAATAAAATTTTGGATCGTGTCTAATGACAGACTAATTATGTATGTAGGTGTGGGTCTAAATGAAATCACTATTTCTTGGGTTTAACTATACTTTTTATTTAATTTCTTAAAGAGCACATTAAACACGTCTTACTCATAATGGCGGCGTCGTGCGAGAGAGAGAGAGAGAGATAGAGCTACATCCGTCCCTTTCACACAGCATGCGTTCAGAATCCTTTCACTCGTTCAGAAATGTTTTACAATAATTAGAAATGTTAGTAATAATTAAATCCTACATGTATGTATTTCCACTCGATTATACTAATATTTAGCGCGCGCTCACACGGAATAATTCACTACGAAATTTTAAATCAAACATTGTAATCAGTATAAATATTTGTGATTGAGCATGACCAAGTCAAATAGTGTCGGTGTAAGGAAGAATTTAAATTGTCACAAGGAATAACGTTACGCAAAAGCTGGCGTGTGTGCCTATGTCCAGCAGTGGGCTAAATTAGGCCGCGAACGATGATAAAGATGATGAACAGATGTAATATTTAATTTTCGTTATCAGAGCATTCATTAAGCGAATTATTATGTGTCAAGGTCGACATTATTAACTTTTGGTGAGCTGTAAATGTGAATTATGAATTTAAAGCACCTAAAATCCTACTTTGGTTTTGAATTGTCTATAAAGAAAGCGCTATGACATGTCCTTCTTCAAAGGCTTGTGCCCCTGACATTACTGAAGTCCATGGGCGACGGCAATAAAAAAAAAATGAATTTATAAATGTTATTGATTGCTGATCGTAAAATATATTGTGTGACCACTAAATTTCGATAAAGTAGATATGTATCATGGAATCGTATGCAATGTTAATCGTAAATTTATAATTAACAGAAAACCTTAATTACATTGCATCGCGTAGGTACATAATCCATAGCACTAAGCATTATTATCACTGTTTTTTTTATTGCTTAGATGGGTGGACGAGCGCACAGCCCACCTGGTGTTAAATGGTTACTAGAGCCCATAAACATCTACAACGCAAATGCGCCACCCACCTTGAGATATAAGTTCTAAAGTCCCAAGTATAGTTGCAACGGCTGCCCCACCCTTCAAATCGAAACGCATTACTGCTTCACGGCTGAAATAGGCAGGGTGGTGGTACCTACCCGTGGGGACTTACAAGAGGTCCTACCACCAGTAAAAATATATATAAAAGTAGATATATATCATGGAATCGTATGCAATGCTTATCGTAAATTCTACAATTAACAGTAAATCTTAATTACATTGTATCGCGCACATAATCCATCAATCATTAAACATTATTATCACTGTTCATGGTGAGTTTGACGGCTTTCATTTAGAATTCGTATACAATCAATCTTTGCATGACAGTGCTCAGACATTTGGTGTTTCTATTTCTGTGCTTTAATCCTAAATGATTATATGCAGACTAATTAAAAAAAATCTACACTTATGTATGAACGTTTCAATATCTTCTGTAATATACCGGGACATAACTATACTTGAGACCTTAGAACTTATATCTCAAGGTGGGTGGCGCATTTACGTTGTGGATGTCTATGGGCTCCAGTAACCACTTAACACCAGGTGGGCTGTGAGCTCGTCCACCCATCTAAGCAATAAATTAAAAAAACATAGGAGAGACCCGGTTGAAAGGATTCGATAAATGTTTTCGAGAAATTTGTCGAAGTTGCGAATGAGTTAAGAGTTTTACAACAGGACTGATAAGTAACGAGAAATCGTACACATGATTTTGTTTGCAGTTAATTTTAGAAGAAATAAATAATAATTTAAAAAAAAAACTAACAAAATACGCTTTTATAGAAAATCCAACTAAAAAATAGAAAATAAATTTTAATAAATTTGAATTAAAAATAGTGTAAGAAAAAATGATTTTATTGTAAAAAAGCGTGGGATTTTCTATAGCGGTATATATCTATAGTAGTTGGATTTTCTATAAAAGCGTATATTGTTAGTTTTTTTAAACTATTATTTATTTTTAATTTTTGAGTTGAATTTCAATTTTTAAATATTGAATTGTCTTCGGTCCTTACTTAATAAGTATACCAAATTTCGAGCTAATCCGACTTTTTGAAGGGGGTCAAAATCATGTTCAAAGGTTCCGTTACAAACATACATACCTCTGAAGCTAATAAAAAGCGTATTAAAAACAAACACATCCGACTGCCACAAATTAAATTTTAATCCCCTTTTAATGATTGTGACATCACGACATCTAATAACTTCAAACATAAGCTGGAGATCCGAATTGCTTTGGTATACATTGCTGACTGTTGCTATCGTATACAATTTTTTTTTATTGCCCCCGCAGAATTACGAGCACACGGCTTGCCTGATGGTGAGTGGTTACCGTCGCCCAAGCACTTCAGCAATGTCAGGGTCGCTGCGTACCGTTAAGTACTATCCACAAGTCTCGTTTGAAGAATTCGATTACTGGTGATAGGAGTCGATTACTGGTGGTAGGACCTCTTGTAAGTCCGCGTGGGTAGGTACCACCACCTACCTATTTTTGCCTGCCTATTTCCGCCGTGAAGCAGTAATGCGTTTCGGTTTGAAGGGCGGGGCAGTCGTTGTAACTATACTTGAAACCTTAGAACTGATATCTCAAGGTGGCTGGCGCATTTACGTTGTAGATGTCTATGGGCTCCGGAGCTCGTCCACCTATCTAAGCAATAAAAAAAAAGAAGGACATGTAATACCGCTTGGGAACACCGTGGAGGGGAGGGAGAGGGGATGAACTAAATTAAACTCACTTCATGCCGTCAATAGCGTGTTCCGAGAGCCAGTGTAGATGAAACTGCAGGAAGGTGTAGTTCCCTCTAAGTGGACCCCCGGAGAGCACTGGCGCCTCAGTGTCAGGTTTCACCTTCCATCTTACTGTTAAACAAATATCATTACTAGTTTTGGAACGAAGTTCCTTAAGGGGCGATGCGGAGGGATACCCTAACCGGGAAAAAACGTCCGTAACGTAAGATTTTTATTATTTATGTATAGTCTTAGTATGATGGTTATACAGTGTCTAATGTATAGTCTACGTGATGACGTACGTGATTTTAGCCTTGAAGCAGTAATGCGTTTCGGGTTGAAAGCTGAGGCAGCCGTTGTAACTATACTGAGACCTTAGAACTCATCTCTCAAGGTGGGTGGCGACATTTACATTGTAGATGTGAATGGGCTCCGATAACCACTTAACACTAGGTGAGCTGTGAGCTCGTCCACCCAGATATGCCATAAAAAAACAGTCTTCCGTCTACGAGCTCCAGTGATTACTTAACATAATGGGATCGTTGTCTGAATGCTTAGTATAATAAAACAAAAAATTAAAAGTAAGAAGGGCGGAAAAGCAGTCAAACAAACAATCAGACTCTGAACTGATGTGTCACTGCGTTATATATATCTAGATAACTTCAGCTACCTCTATAGAACGGTGGGTTTTTTCAATTCATCTAAAGATATAGAGCAATAAAATCTTGTCTCAGTTTTTAGGCGCGATGAAAACACACCCCGTGCGTGATAAATCGTTTTAACTCGTGTTACGAATTATCGGCGCAACGATGTAATAACATCGTCTTATAAAACAAGTTTTTTTTTTTTTCTTACCTAAGCTGATAGCCTTAGGGGCTATTTCAGCGTAACCGTGGCTAGTAGGTGAGCTCACGGGGCTCAAACCTGATGACGTTGCTAACACGAACCCTAGCAAGAGCCGTGCTTCGCAGAATCTACCACCGGATCGAAAACGCGACCCACTGAGGAGATCCGGTGAGAAACTCAGTGGGCTGTGTCTGAGAGTTAATTTACTCGTCGAGCCCTTCGTCGCAAGCAACGGGTTCGACGAGAACGGTGACCGGTGCTTGAAGTACCTAAAAGCACCGTTAGTGGATCGGGAGGATCCGAGATGACGTGTATAAAACAAGATCCAAAACCTTGATATATATCCAGGTTAGAGCCCCGTGAGCTCACCTATTGGCTGGGTTACGCTGACACAGCATCTCAAGCTAAGGTAGAAAAAAAAATCCTTGATATTTACATCTAAAACCGTTGTTAATAAATCAATTCAAAGATTCGAATCTTTTTTTTTTTTTTTTTTTTTTTTTTTTTTTTATGATTGAAAGTTTACTGGTGGCCCGAAGGCCTTTCCAGTTTCACCAGGACAGGTGGGCGAGCAAAGGCTCAGCCAAGAGGGGTGGGATTTGCTAACAACTGCCCGAGCGCCTCCGAAAGAGACCTAACAACTCAAGAGCAATTGTTTCGCGAATGAATCTACTACCGGATCGGAANTCGGCAGATGTACCACGAACACAGAAACAACAAAAGGAAACAAGACAAATAAAAACTTCCAGAAAGAGCACTTAGTCGGCAGATGTACCACAAACACAGGCCGCGCGAACAATGGCCGGGCTAACAAAAGCCGGGCGAACAAAGACCGGGCGATCGAGTGGACGATGAGCACGTCCGCACGTGACGGGTGCCTCTATCGAGATTCGAATCACGAGTCCACCAAACTAATCTCGAAATTATTTCAATTATAAAATTAATAACATAACTTTATGTAATACGTATTTTGTTTGATATGCGGTATCCTTCTAATTCATTATGAAATAGATAAACGGTTTATAAATAAAATTAAGTAATTTTATCAAAAAAAAAAAAAATTACAATTATCATAATATTGTTATCATCACATCTGAAAGTTAGCGTACTTTTATCAGTACCTACATATTGTGTTTTTTCCGTTTTGGAAATTGTTCACAAAAATTTATCTAATTTGAATTCTTTCAGAGATAGCTGGTTGTTTAGATTCATATGACGCGCAGAGTCTTATACGAAACGAATGCAGAGATTATGCACATATCCGCGTGTCGAGATTACTTTATTTATTTATTAAGTTGCACCAACAAAGTGATCATCAATACAAAACATTGACAAACTGAGAAAAGTTCATGGCAGATGTCAACTCAATTATAAGTGCAATCGACAGTGCATTAACAACAAAAAAAAATATGTGTGTGTGTGCAAGTCACACACGGTAGAAGTGAAACTAATAAAATATAAAAATAATCGCAAGGGTCAACCACTCCGCAGTGCAATGGAACAGCCGCACCATGAGGGAACCACCTGCATGATCACGGTATCCCGACGCCAGGTAGGTATGATCTAGCAAGAGAAATACGAGAACGTCTATCAACTGTGTAACATTTCCTCGCCGCGATTCAGGAATTGTTGAATTTACGTGCAGCGACATCTGCTGATAACAACCTAAATAGAAATAAAATAAACAAGGCGCGTAACGGAAGAAATTAAGATGGCGCGTAACCGAAAAACGTTACATACGTCGTTTCCTCCCTACGTCGATAAAGAAGTTTCATTGCAATAAAAAAAATATATAACTAAGATTTGATTACATTTGATTGATCGTTTAAGATAAATTTATATTTAATTGGGAAATGATCCGCGACAGATTTTTCCTGTAAGTTGTGAGACAATTAGAAAAACAGACATTACTTGCCGAATACACACGCAAATGCAAAGGGACGCTTAGCTCATTACAAATCGGATTTGCTTATTTCTAAATAATTAAGGTAGACATCGTCGTGTTTTCCTGGTGAGATCCTGGTGAGGACAATGGGACGAACTTGTGGCGGTGGCCGTCACAGAACACAAGATATTTGACAGATGCCTGAATCTCGCTTACGACATTTACAAGATGAGCTCGCATATATACAAGTTCCGAACAATAACATTGGGATCGTCGTTCTACCGAGCAATATCACACGCTCGGTGAAAGATGTTGTCTTTATATTTCATCATGAGTCCTTGATTAGTGTGGTAAATTTCAATTTCACGTTCTAAGATTCAGTTATGTACAGGCGATCCTATATACCTATCTGTATATAACTAGTCTGGCCATAAATACTGTAACATTTTGCTTTTATTTTTTTCAACTTTTTAATTATTTTGAATTTGGAACACATAATTAATATATTATTTTAAAAAAATCTTTCGTTTTTCCGCCATTTCACATATTTTTTCGTGTTCATTATCAAATTACAATATGAAATGTGGTGTTAAAGAAAATAGGATTGCAGTGGTCGCCTTGAACAAAGTGGGTATGGAGCCGTCGGTCATATTCTAGACACGGCGACATTGAGTATTAAAAACCTACTTAAGCTAAACCTAAGCTAGCAGTGGCGAAATTTCCCTTGGAAACAGTGCGCAAATCCATAAATTCGTGGCCAAACAGATTAAAGACCTGTATAAAAGCCAAAGGTGGTCATTTCGAAAGATTTTTTTTTAATTTTTTCCTGAGATTTTAATAAATATGTGGGTATAAATTCATTTATAAGAGAACTTATGGCTGGACTAGGTAGGTATAACTAGACGATGACCGAGCTTTGCTCGTTTTTTTTTTTTTTGATAACGCCATCTTGTTATGTCTTTAAGGCGGTTAGTTGCCCTCAATTAAGAAAAATAGTATTATTATTGGCCAATAGATGTCGGGAAGAGTTGATTATTGAAAACACGAATAACACAACATTTTCTGAAAATAAATCGTAGCTCGATTTATCGCCCCCGAAATCCCCTTTATACTAAATTTTATGAAAATCGTTGGAGCCGTTTCCGAGATTCAGATTATATATATATATATTAATATACAAGAATTGCTCGTTTAAAGGTATAAGATATGTATAGTAAGCGTGTTAAGTATCAGAGACGTCTTCATTAACTTTTAGATCTTGTCACAAGTAAACAAGAATGCTTACGTGTATGCCCGTTGTTGATCGCTGTGACCTTAACATCTCCGTATCCTCTCATCACCAGCGGTCCGCGTATATGGGCTTCGTGCTTGTCGAAAATGGCGTCACGAGTCATGATATTGATAGGAGATTGGAGCTGTCCACCCCTGCATAGACCTGGCCATTGCGTTTGATCTAAAGAAAAGAAGTAGAATTACTGGTGGTAGGACCTCTTGTAAGTCCGCGCGGGTAGGTACCACCACTCTGCCTATTTTTGGCATGAAGCACTAATGCGTTTCGGTTCGAAGGGTGGGGCAGCCGTTGTAACTAGACACCTTAGAACTTAAATCTCAAGGTGGGTGGCGCATTTACGTTGTAGATGTCTATGGGCTCCGGTAATCACTTAACACCAGGTGGGCTGTGAGCTCGTCCACCCATCTAAGTAATAAAAAAATAAAATGAAAATCTTTGATGATTTGATCATCAAACAAGAGACATTCATACCGTAATTAGGATTATTTTGATTTATAAAATTAAAGGTATTTATTTAATCATTTAATTAGATTGTCTAATTAATAAATACGTGCCGTGATCCTTTTTTTATGTTTGCACAATTTAGTTGTGTTATCTTAAATGAATATTATCTGATAATAATAAATATACTTACAATCGTACGACCATCCTGATTGATAAGTGTAATCTGAAACAGAAAATAAGAATTACGTGATTTAATCTGTAATTTTTTCATCGAGAGCTTTGAAAGAATCGCGGCGACTTATATAGTTTTTCTTTATTAAATATTATCTTTATTTATTTTATTTATTTATAATCATTTATTTCAGACCATATTGTAGCCCATATATAAAAATACAATTTGGAAATACATAATAATATATTTATCCCACCACATCTAGGCGATTCCATGCTAAGAAGAATGGACAATCCATCTCCATTCTGTTCGCAATGAGTGAATTTCAAAATTTCTGTTTAATAATTTGATAGTTTGTTAACTTATTTCAATACACCCGTATTGGTATGCGGAAAATCTTGTTGGTATTTTACAAATATTGTATGTGTGGCAGAGGTCGGTAAGGGTAGATCACAGATAATTGGAGGTTATCTGTGGGGTAGATTGTGGGGGCGATTATGTGAGTATTCAAATCCAAGGGCAGATGGTTTAAGTAAATATTTACATGTGCACCTTTTTTTTGTTTCATAGGGGAAAATCCGTGGATGAAACCTCTTACTTTCGCAGAAATGGATTAGGTAGGGCCAATAACGCAGTGTGTGTCTTTCATTCCCGATCCACTAACAGTGCTTTTAGGTACCTCAAGCACCGGTCATCGTTCTCGTCGAACCTGTCGCTTGCGACGAAGAGCTCGGTGAGTAAATTAACCCACAGACACAGGCCACGGAGTTTCATACTGGTGCCTATGCAGTTTCACAATGCGTCCTCCCACTACAAAGGCCTGTAGTAGTTCCGTGACGTGGTTTTTGTTGATATCACAGAGCTGGTAGATTCCACATTTCACTACTTGTTATCTGAACCAATATTTATAGTGTGTAAGACGATTGTTTATGCTTCAGTCAGCGTGTCAGCAATCACTATATGGTTTACATTACTGATAATTTTATGCAATTTTTTCTCTTAATATGTACATAAATGCGACGATAAAATTATATAATACTAGCTGACCTGGCAAACGTTGTTTTGGCCATATAAGATTTCTAGGGAATTTCTAGTGTAGAAAAAGAAAACTAACTTATTGTAAGTGTGTAAGGATGTGGTAAATGAGTGAAAGAGGCATGTAGCGTTGTGAACGATGAGGGTGGAGGGGGTGGACAACCCTTATCACTTAGGGGTATGAAAAGTTCGGTGTATTGGTAGCGGATTCTTGCAGGTACCAATTTTTAAGGACTCATATGTGTAGCGTAAGTTTGTTAAAAGTTTGGTGTTTCCTATCTTCTTATATGGGGTGGAGACATTGACTCTAAAGAAGGAATATCGTAGTTGGGTTGACGCGTTTGAGATTTGGTGCTGGAGGAAGATGCTTCGAATATCCTGGACGGCACATCAGACTGAAGCATTAATCCTTGAATAACTACTAACTACTAACTCTCCACCGCTTGCCGAGAATTTTCGAGATTTTCGGTCACGTTGCGAGGAAGAGGACAATCTCGAGAGGCTACTCATCACCGGCAAAGTGAAAGGAAAAAGGCCAAGGGGGCCGGTAGTCCCATGTACTGATCCGATCAAATTAAGACGATATTGGACTCCAGCATCAAAGCCGCAATCCACATGCGCACAGGACAGGAAAGAATGGAGGAACATAGTCTGTACAAAAATGACCCCCAAAGGTCACGACCTTCAGCACTGAGCAACACGATTTAAGGAGCAGCAGGAATGTTACCACTTTTTTTATTATTTCGCTTTGTTTTTTGCGACTCATTTTTGTTACATTCAGGATTAAATTTTCCATTTATCTCTTCAGTTTTCGTCGTCACGGACGGCTAAGATAGTGTCCGTCAATATTTTAATATTGTGCGAACCAACGTCCGTCAACAAAGACATAGACTCTATCGGGCGGTCGGTCGACCCGTTATACTCTGGAAAAATTCAATAGACGAACATGACGAGCGCTATTTATTAATTGGTATTGGTACCAACATGTTGTATTTTAGCGGAATATGTCACAAGTGTCACAAAGAAACGAACGCGCACAAATCTATACTAACTAGTGGTCCCGCAGTAGTCGAAATTCGACTATAATTAATTGGAATTGTAAGTTTGTACATTATTATAATTATCTTAATATATATAAATCTCGTGTCACAATGTTTGTCCTCAATGGACTCCTAAACCACTTAACCGATTATAATAAAATTCGCACACCATGTGCAGTTCGATCCAACTTGAGAGATAGGATGGTTTTTATTTCGATGAATGGTCGCAATATTTATTAATTAACAATAAAATGATTTCTTATGTTGATTTTTGTTATTAATTGTAAGTTTCATAAGTCTAAAACAGATGGCGCCTTAAATCAGTTTTTACAGACAATTGTTATACTGTGACTTTAATATCTCATAGATGGCGCTGTGCTAAAAATACCAACGTTTCACATAAGCTACAATTTAATGGCATAAGCACCACGTGTTTCTGAGGCTAAAGTATAAGTGAAATTTATTTCGTAGTAAACGCAATACAGTGAAATCCAATTGTTCTTACGTTGTCAATTTTTGGTATTAGCATAGGCGGCCGCGAGTTATTTAGTAACAAAAACCTAAGCCACAGCCACAGCAACGTGTGGCCGGGTCCGCTAGTATTTTATAAATCTATAATCACAAATTTCGCCAAGGCTACACTATAAAAAAATATTAATAATGACAAACAATATTTAATCTGTTCTATGTGTGTGTGCATCAAATACACAGTATGTAGTATGTGTAATGTTTTCTTTATTGATCTTAATTTTTTTCTTTACATTAAATCTTTTATGCATTATTTAACAAAAAAATTTGCATTGTGCACTTTTTCTCTATATTTTCTATAAGTGTGGAAAATTTCATACTCCTCCGTCCGCGCAATTTTCGTCAAAAGGGATACAACGTTTTTGCTTCGCGTATTAATATATATAGGTAGATATATAAATCTACAGTGTTTTTTACGGATGTTCCGTTGTAACTACTGAACCATGCATCCGATTGACTTGAAACTTGGTGTCCATCTAGAAAATACATGTACTTAATGGATAGGCTAATATTTATATGAGTGTTGGATTCCCTACACCAGTTGCGGGGGCGTTAATGATGAGAATATTTGTGGGAGTGAGAAATAATACTCGTAATGTTAATTTTAAATGCCCACCGAAGCGGACGGAAGCTAGTAAACTCATAAAATGCTAACACAAATAAAGGTATTGGCCGCGGTGGCGAACCAAGCGATTCATTGTCGGAAACATTTTCTTTTTATTTCAATTAAAACCAACTAAGATTAATTACTGGTCATTGGGAGCTCTACGACAATAACCTACGTAGTAATAGTATTAGTACGTATTTAAAATTTTAAAAGAAAGTTTTTAATAACATCACACTTCTAAGACCCAATTTTAGCTAAATTAGTTAATGATAATTCAACCCCGCGACACGGTGTTTGATTCGTACGCACTAGTTAAATCAACTCACGCGATCAAAATAATAATATTTTTGTTACTCAATTCATTTCTCAATTTTTTTTATTGCGCACGCAAATAAAAACATTTATTTAAGATTGAATATAATAGATAGTTCTTTATTGTTTTAACAAGATATAAGACATCGTTTTCGCTGATGTTGGACTCACGAGCTTACAGCGCGGCTGGTGTTAAGTGGTTACCGAATCCAAAAGATACTTCAAAGTTTCGATTTCTTTGGGATTTGAAAGTCTTATCCTTTAATCCTGACTACATGATTTCTTTTGTGGGAATACGCAGATAGATACTGGAGATGTATGGAAATGATAGTGCAAGGTAGAGGGGGAAGAGGTCGACCGAAGAAGACATGGATGGAGTGTGTGAATGACGATATGAGAGAGAGAGGAGTGAGTGTTGAGATGACGGCTGATAGAAGAGAATGGAAGAGAAAAATTAGCTGTGCCGACCCCACCTAGTGGGATAAGGTGGAGAAAAAGAAGAAGACGCAGATAGATACTAGAAATCTTACGATACAAGTTCCTAACAACAATATCCAGATTGTCGGTCTAATGAACATTGTCCCTGATCAGGTGATTTTTTTCCCCCTTATATACTCCTTTAAAACGTTGACTGCCATGTAGGTCACGGGTGACCTACGCGGTGCACTGAAGGCATTATGTCGATTTCTGTTACTAAGCGTCTGGATTACCTAACTATGCCTTCTTTTATTTTTAAGGTATTATGTTTTCATTTTTAGGTCTCTTACAAATATATTCTTAGTACGAGTAGTAGTAGTAGGTATCTTCGTTTTACCCCGAGTCTACTAGACATTCCGGCGCCTTCGTAAGAAGATAAAAATCAACAATTACCTACACAGCAGTCAACGTGTTAAAAACTTACATAATTAATGTTCACGATTGATTCCGCGACAAAGGTATAAATAGCGCCGTGTAAAAAAATAATATTGAATTCACAAATAGACGTAATTTCCATAAATCACTGCTTATAAGGCGTTTTTTGAACTCGCGCGAATACGTGCCACTATACTACCTATTTCTGATGCGATACAATAAGGTTTTGCTTGAAGGATATTAGATCGGAGAGTACTAAGCTGTAGGCACCGGCTTGGCTCTGCCCCTGGCATTGTTGATGTCCATGGGCGACGATAACCATTCACCATCAGGTGGGCCGTATGCTCGTCTGCCTAAAAAAATAGGTCTCGTTTTTCAATGAGAGTGAAGCACATTAAGTATATGCACATGTCTATGGGCTCCGGGCTAATCACACCAAGAGGGCGATGATCTCGTTCGTCCGTTTGAGTATTTAGAAATAGTCCCGATCCTGCGGATCGAATGGTAAACAGTCGACGTCGCCCAAAACACGTCATTTCAGATCCTCCCGATCCACTAACGGTGCTTTTAGATACCCCAAGCACCGGTCATCGTTCTCGTCGAACCCGTCGCTTGCGACGAAGGGCTCGGCGAGTAAATTAACCCACAGACACAACCCACTGAGTTTGTCGCCGGATCTTCTTAGTGGGTCGCGTTTCCGATCCGATGGTAGATTTTACGAAGCACGGCTCTTGCTAGGGTTAGTGCTAGCAACGTCGTCAGGTTTGAGCCCCGTGAGCTCACCTAATCGCCTGGCTACGCCGAAATGGTCTTTGAAGACCATCAGCTATGGTAGGGGAAAAATTATAATAAAAAAATAGCAATAGTTTTATTTGTGTATTATTTATGTTATTGAATGTACGAATTGAATTCAAGAGACGTGCTGGGCGAAGAAAAAAGTCATGGCTCCGGAATATCCGGGAGTGGACCGGTATTGCCTCCGTCGAACAGCTGTTCCGGCTGGCTGCTGACAGAAAGGAATACAGAAAGCTAACGGCCAACCTTCAGGATTGAAGAGGCACTGGAAGAAGAAGAAGAAGAAGAATGTACGAAATTTCTTTCTTAAGACAGCCCTTCTTACCTCAACCCTCAGATTAATTATTTAGTTCAAAACAGCGATTTATACATATTACCTATTGCCTAATCTAATTTAAGTGGATTGTATATTGATTGTGTAAAGTTTAAATTAAGAGGATATGGCGACTGATAGAGTTTATCTGTGGTCGTGGTTCAAGAGACCGGTTTGATACCGTTTTTTCACTACTTATTTGCTTAGTCTAATGGGCTATTCCAGCTAAGCCTGGACGGATAGGTGAGCTCACGGGCTCAACCTAAGAGAATTTGCTAACACTAGCCTTAGCAAGAGTCGTGCTTCGCAAGATCTATCACCGGATCGGAAGCGCGACCCACTGAGAAGATGCGGTAAGAAACTCAGTGGGTTGTGGAGACTGGTTGGTGCTCAGTAACACTGGAAATACGTCTTGTACATATGTCAAGAGATACAGTTCAAATTGTCTGAGAGGTACTAATCTTTTGTCAAGTACAGTCTTGCTTTATTATTGACGCGAACCAACCACAACATTTGTTCCACTTTGAAAAGTAGAACAAATGTTGTACAAGATAATTGAGACTTTGTTCTTATGCGCCAGCGTTGGAGATGCTTAGTGTGCACTCGATAAAATCGTTTCTCCGCCCGCACACCCCATGATAATCACCATAAAGCCCCATTAGCAATTGCGTTATTGTATCCAGTGACGGATTTAGGTTTAATGCCGCCCTAAGCCCTGTTTAGCGCGCCGCCCTTAATCTTAGAATAAAATTTATTAATTTTGATCCAATACTTTTATATTCATTAAAAAAATTTTTTTTTTCATTAATAAAAAAAAGTCCTGACATTTGAATAAATACCAAAATGATATTTAATACATGCATATCTACAGTATTTTTATTTAACGCTAAAACAAATTGCGATATTATTTAAATTAAGTAATTTTTATTAATATTTTATTTAATAGTTTTTTAAGTAATTTTAAGCATATGATTAATTTCAGTAATAAAACAAAAAGTAAAGTAAATAATTCGTTTAACGACTGATGATTATTAATCGATCTATAAAAAAATGAATATCCTATTCATAGATTGAAAAGTAAATAAAAAAATTAAATTATTATATATTCTATAGATTTTAAAAAAAACATAGTGAACTCATTTTCAAAGGAAACTGTCGTTAATTTTTTCGTTTCTGAAATTTTGCCATTTCCAAAATTATGGTGCCCCTCAAATAATGCCGCCTAGGTGATATCCATCACTGATTGTATGTATCCACTTATTTGATTGTAATTGAACCGCAACTGAAACGGACTTTTGAATAGAAATTATGAATCAGATAGTAAGTACTTCGAAGACCGTTACGTTTAAACACTTCCTAAATAATTTAAATACTTCCTAATTAATCTTTTTCAATTTTTTTATTTTATTTTATTTTGCGATTAATTCGGCTAATTTTATTATTGTTTAAATTAGAGCTGTACTTATTTTTATTAGTAAATATTTTTTAAAATATTATTCTTTTTCTATTTTTGTTTATTTCAGTTTATTTGACGATTAATTCGGTTATTTTTATTATTGTTTAAATTAGAGCTGTACTAATTTTTATTAGTGATTATTTATAAAAATAATTTAAATCGTTTAATAGAAGTTTTTCGATTTAGTTTAATTTTATTAATTTTAAATATGAATAGGAATGATTTAAATTCGAATTTGAATATATGAAATTGAAAAAGTAGATAAAACGAAGCAAACTCACCCACAAGACCGATTAAAGTCACTAATAATATTTTCATTTTTTAAATTATTTTTTATATTATACCACACTCTCTCACATACAGAACAGAACTAAATTTGAATATATTTTGTTGCGCCATCTTATATTTATGTAAGTTTTATTTTCGCACAGCCTAAGCCGCCCGGCCCGTGTGCCCTGTACTGAGTCCTGATACGGTCATCATTGATAGTACGGGCGGCGAACACACTGCTGTTAAGAACGAGCAACGCGATGCAAATTGTTTTTTAAATTTTTTTAATACTTTTTGTTTTTTTTGTTCGGTTTTTTATTCGGGCGTGAGAATTGCGATCGAGAGGCTCCAACAATGAATGGTGCAGTGAGTTTTTGTATGAGCCTCTTGACTACTACGAATATGAGCTGTTGTCGGTGTTTGGAGCATGGATTCATACACTCAGGAATGGAGGGGAATGGAGTCGACTCAAAAAAAAAGTTTGTATGATAAATGAGCAAAAAAGATACCAAATGATTATTTTCTTGTTTAACACGTCGAACACTATGCGGCCCACCGGTGGACCTAGCGTACTATACCATTCGGGCCGAGGCTAAATCAGGGAAGCAGTTATTGTTATCAACTTGAGGTTTCATTCTAAAATTTATAAATAGCGATAATATGCGCGGACGATAAGAATTAGCAACTTTTACCGTCTAGTTTTTAAGATATTTTAAACAGCTATAATCTTGATTAAAAACTATAACTTCCTATTGGATTTTAAAACTAAAGCGTTCCGCCCCCTGATCACGTAAAAATTTGCGACAGCCACAATTTTGCAGATGCTGTGCAGACGCGTCGCGACCGATCGCAAAACGTCAAATTATTTCGTATCACGTACCGCGATTGTTCGCTTACCGCTTACTGCAGTTTTCTGTCATACAACTAGCGCCAGTCGCAATCGGGTAGCAATAATTGGCACTAAAAAGCCACATTACTTTTTTNTTAGGCCAGTTGTTGTTAGTTGTATGGAAAAGAATGCACTAAAGTTTCACAAATCGCTCTGCAGAGGCAGCACTAGTGATGGTCCGCGATCTGCTTTTTTGTTGTAAGTCCGTAATACGAAATGGACAGTTGACAGCAATATTTGCACAATATTTGTCTTCTGCTAATTGTCTGCGAAATACGTGATACAGCTGCCGGTTCAGCCAAAGGACTACGCGTTTGACTCCCATAGGCGTTTCCTTGAAAGCTGCAATCTGTGGCTTGTAGGAAGCGTTTACATTGGATCCCACACGCGGCTCACGGGTGACTCTCACGGCCCGAACGGTTCAGTAAGATAAGGCTCACCGGTGATCATCGTGCCCTGAATGAAAATAAAAAAAATCATGTGGCGTTCAACTTGTTGACTTCTCGCATAAAATCCTTTTTTTTTTTTTTTTTATTGCCCTTGTAGGCAGACGTGCATACGGCCCATCTGATGGTGAGTGGTTACCGTCGCCCATGGACTTCAGCAATGCCAGGGGCAGAGCCAAGCCGCTGCCTACCGTTATCCTACCGAGATTTAAACATACTAACATGAACACATTCTCTCACATATTGATTTGAGCATTTGAATAGCAACCTTTTCAATTTTGTCGTGAAACAAAAGCCCTAAACTGTATATTGGAGCGTATTACTATATTATGACAAAAGTAGGTAGGCTAGTGTCACTTTGTCTTATTTTGTTTTACCACTAATTATTACGATAAATACGTAGTTTAATTTCAAATTTATCGTGACAGCTGTTCGTGGATTTGTTAATGTAAGTTTTAAAAAAAGTAGTTTCCAAAGGCTCTGCTGATTTCACATTTATTCGCATTGCTAACCGAACATTAAAATTAATAGAAAAATTGAAAAATTCAAATGCTCGACGCTCTGGCTGCACGTGTGTAACTAACGCGTAGAGGACGGTAGCTATTCAACATTGTCAAGTGTAATTTTCTAATAAAATCACGCGGAGGAAATTGTTGTAAGGCAACATTAAACTATGATACTAAAATAGAATAGAACACCTTTTATTAACTCCCGTTCAATTAACGGGCTAAATATTTATTTATTTATTTGCGTTGTTCAATGCTGAGTGTATCACTGTCAAGTTAGTATTTCTTAAAGAAGTTGAGGAGAATTTGAAGATATTTTTTTGTATAAATTGGTAAAAAGCTTTGATAGCAGACGACCTATAAATAGTTTTTAATCTCCTGCCGGTCACCGAAATGACATAGTTAAAAAACAATAAATTCACAATAAAACAATAAATTAAAAAACAATTAGTTTCAAAACCATAAAAACAGATTTTAATAGCAGCCGAATATATTTTTCATTCATGAAAATTCATGAAATTAGTTTTTTTTTTTTGAAATATGTTTGTTTGAATTTTGTCCAAATTTTGTCCACATAATGGTCGTCTCCGACATATTGCTGCATATTTATTTGTTCATTATGCAAGTGCGTTGCCAGTGCAATACACTCTTATCTTTTAAATAAATAATTAAAATAATTTGATTTCAAACCGATCAAGCATTAAAATTATTCAGATCGGTTTTGTAGATGAGATAAACATTTGTGCTAATAAGTACGTGTAGTTGATAAAAAAATTGCAAGAAAAGGTTTTTTTTTTCGTATTTTGTCGGGAGATTCATGTGAGTGATTAGAAGTCTTGTACGATAATTCTCTGTTTTGTTCAAAGCGCACGTGATATGAAGTGTTCTTTGTCATTCATCAGGAGCGCATAACTTGAAGCCACAAATATAGAAAAGTAAAAATAATAATATTAAAGTAGCCGGGCTCAAGGTTAAAGTATCGTTCAGAATTTTTAATTTTTTTATTTCTTAGATGTGTGGACGAGCTCACAGCTCACCTGGAGCCCATAGACATCTACAATATAAATGGGCCACCCACCTTGAGATATAATTATGTTCTAAGGTCTCAGTATAGTTACGGCTGCCCCATCCTTCAAATCGAAACGCATCTGCTTCACGGCAGAAATAGGCTGAGTGGTGGTACCCATCCGTGCTGGCTCACAAGACGTCCCACCACACTAAAAATAAGAGATTCCAGAGATCATATCTGTCAAGTACCATTCAGTTTTAAAATGTATTCTTCTCCAGGATGTTTCGTGAGCACTATGATGCGTCCCGTTGTAGACAAAGCTTGCAGAGAATACTCATGCTCACGCTCATGGTTGACTACCATGCGCGATGGTGGCCATTCACCTTCAGGTGGTTCGTGTGTTCGCCTACCAATGCAAAAAGAAAATAAAAGGTCATCGATGCTCATCTTGAGACAGTACGAATACGACGCCGGCCGATGTATGAATTAATTGGATGGTATTTTTCTCCGCCATTACTTCTGTTCCTTAAGGCCATAATAAACAGAGCACGGCAGAGCTCACTCTTGTTTGCAATGAAATTATTAATGTAAACTATTTTATTGATGTTCTAATTCTGTATTCGAACGGCGCGTTTTATATTCACAACTAGCTGACCCGACAGACTTCGTAGTGCCTCAATCGATAAATAGAAGACCTAAACTTTTGTATAAAATAAACTTAAAACAAACAAAAGGATTTGTTGTTATTATTTAATTCCGAGCATTTTCATATTTATCTTACCTTATAAAACTTCTCTGGACTTCCACAAATAATTCAAGACCAAAATTAGCCAAATCGGTTCAGCCGTTCTCGAGTTTTAGCGAGACTAACGAACAGCAATTCATTTTTATATATATAGATTATATTTTATTGATGTTCTAATTCTTTTTTTTTATGATTGAAGTTGTACTGGTGGCCTAGAGGCCTTTCCAGTTTCACCAGGACAGGTGTTTAAATTCTGTATTCGAATGGGGCGTTTTATATTCACAATATTCGTGCCCAGAGCCGCGGCTTGTGCAAGCCATTCTGCAGATAGGGGTTTATCTACGGTCAGGCTATTTGTACAATTTTCTCAACAACTTAATGAGAGCTATGCGGGTGCTCGTTCGTATATCTTGTCAGCTGCGAAGGGAGCATATTGGAAAGATCCTGATGTCACGTAATAATACGCTAGCAAGAATAGATAAGAATGTGTGATGAAAGCGCGTGCATCGAAGACTTTGTCGACGTCGTCCTAAGCACGTCATTACGGATCCTCCCGATCCATTATCGATGCTTTTAGGCACCACAAGCACCGGTCACCGTCCTCGCCGAACCCGTCGCTTGCGACGATGGGCTCGATGAGTGAATTAACCACGGAATAGATAAATAAGAATTAACCCATACACACAGTTTACTGAGTTTCTCGTCGTATCTTCTCAGTGGGTCGCGTTATCGATCCGGTGGTAGATTCTGCGAAGCACTGCTCTTGCTAGGACCAGTGCTAGCAACACTCCCTGTTTGAGCCCTGTGAGCTCACCTAAATGTCAAGGAGAAGCTGATATAGCCTCTCAAGGCTGTCAGCATTGGTAGGAAAAAAAAGAAACACTTTCACGAAATAAATAAACACTTCATTTGATGAGTACGCGATTTCAAAATGAACTTGATGACGTTAATAATTTTATTTTACTTTATTAATAGTTGGTTTTTGCCTTTGCTTTTTTTTGCATGTAAACGTGATAATTGCCTTTCGAAATGATTTTATTGCTGAATACTGTTGACAATAAAATAATTTAGATAACATTTCTAAGATCGCATACAATAAATTATATCTTTCTGTGTTTATATCTATGGAAATGGTGTCATAAATAACATGGCTTACAGTCGATAAGACAAGTCGCACGTTTTCTATAGTGAGTAACATTTTAAACGAAATGATAACAATTTGGATCGGTCTCTAAAAATTTTCAGAGTCAATGGAATTGTTGTTCAATACTTATTATCTGTATGATTCCGCTGAATGCATAGATTATATTATACTATGTATTATTTATTTAACGATACGGTCACGTGTTTGGGCATGATTTTGTGGCGATAAGTTCACATCTTGGTATATCGACTTCAACCTATTTGGAGAAAATTGGAAATAGTAGTAACAGAAGAAGAGAGATAAGAAGAA